AGGGGATTCGTATAAGACCGTGGTCCGTTGAGTTATTTAAGGTTCCTAAAATGCGAGAAATTCGAATTTGTAATGAAAGGGAGGAAAACTAGGGAAAGCTCAAGATAAAAAGGTGTTAGGGTTGTGCTTGGGGCTCTGTTTGAACACCTTTATGTACATAAAATTATGTTCAAGTACATTTCTCCATGGTGTTAAATGGGTTGAGTCGAGTCATTTGACTTGCTCACTATTGAGGCCTCAATTGATCAACGAGGCTGTTCCCATTCACATATGAGGATGAGACAAGTGCGAGCTAATTTCTTTCAAAAATTATGTATCAACTCACCCCACTAATTGGCCCTTTGTTGGGATAAGTTGAATCGACGCCAGCCAACATGAAGGAACTAGTTACCATAGAAGCTACAGATTTCGAAAGTTGTACCACTATCTTCTAGGGCAAACTCCCTATCTTGATCAAAGTTTTGAAAGGCTTGCTTATGGTGGTCCTAGGTCTATAAGACGTAGGCTTATCAAACTGAGTTAATTGCATAGTCAAGGGGAACTAAGTGCTAGTGATCGAAACTTGGAGAACTTAGGCCGCTGATAGTAAAGGAGAGGCCCAGAACCCATTTCATGGCTTATATTATGGCCCCATTTGGTAATCATTTTTTTTAAATGTATTTTTTTATCTCTTCTTTTCAACCACATATACTTATTAAAATAATATAACACGTAAATTAAAAAATTTCTTTATTTTTCAACAACACATTTCACATCAATTTACTATTCTAAAATACATTTTTACATAAAAATGTCTATTAAACACCCCCTATATAAGATGGCCGGTTTACTTAGCGGGCTTCCTATCTTTAAAAAAAATAGAAAAAAAAAGAAAAAAAAAAGAAAATCTTTTGGGTTAGCCAATCTAGTAAAGGAGCGGCGTGCAATCTTCCTCCTTTCCAACTCTAAATCAAATAAAATATTTCAGACTAAATTTTGCAACTCAACTAAAATGGGACGATGATTCAATCCACTTGATACCCATAACATGATGAAATTCATTGTTTGAATAATCAATGAGCTAGCAACAAAGAAATATAACATTGGATTCTTTGAGGTCGAAGGTAAAATTGTCACTTTTAAAATCAATGCAAGGTCAATAATAAACTTCTACTTCTTGATTATAGTGTTATGTGAAAATGACTCGTCATTTATTAGGCTGGGCCAAGTTTTTTTTGTGGATTTGGACGGCTATCTAGTCCTAATGTTTTTTGTGGAAATTACACATATCCCTAGAATTAAAATCTAGGGTTCAAAAATTATATGGGTAATTTAATATTTCAAAAATCAGATTTCACATGTTTAAATATTATTTATTATCTCTCCAATCTCTTTCTCTCTCCAATCCCTTCTCTCTCCTCCCACCCTATTCTCTCTCTTTCACACTCGTATTTACTCTATCTTAATTTCTCTCTCTCTCTCTCCCCCCAACCTTTCTTCTCTCCTCCCACTCATATTTTCTTTCCACTCGTTCTCCCCACCCGTCTTCTCCCTCTCACTCTTTGTGGCTGCTCAAAAAAGGGGATTCCTACTCTAGCCTCCGGTGATCGTTGCTGGTTGGCGACTGTGACGGTGCTAACCGAGAAAGTGGTGAGATTGTGCTTTCCTTTGACAGTTGTAGTGTTCCAGCGATGGTGATGGCTGTGATGTTGAGTTGTTGGTGATGTTGGATGAGTTCAGGATTTGGTTCTAGCATTGGGCTGGAGGAGGACGATGGTGGTTGTGGATGGTGGTTTGTATGTGGGATGGCATGGGTGACGCTATATGGGGGTTGCAATAGTGAGGGATGGTCGGTGGTGTTGTGCTTGCTATGGCGGTTTTGTCCCGCGACGTTGTTGCTGTAGGGTGACGGTGGTGATTCTGGCGGCGATACTGTTGAAAGCAGAGGTTGTCACAAGTGTTTGTGTGGTCACAGATTATTTGGATATTTGGTTGGTTGTAACCATTAAATTGGCTAATGTGTGACCAATAAAGACCGTTGAAAAAAATAAATTGTGACCAATGGGATCTAAAAAAATATTAATTTGTGACCATCTAATGAGTTGTGATCTATAATATTTTCAATCTGTGATCGATACATAAATTGTGACGTATTAATTTTCGATCTGTGATCGATGAACAAATTGTGACCTATAAATGTTTTGAATTGTGATTGTAAAATAACTTGTGATATTTAAAAATTATGATATGTGATTGGAAAAAAATATATGATTAATTAAATTATGAATCTTTGACCAAATGTATAGATATGTGACTTTAATATATGACAAAATTGAATAAATTGGATACTAATTCAATCATTAAATCTGCAATTTTTTCCTCAACCGTCATAATAATTGTCTTCTGTTTTTGCGTGAATAATTGTGTGGGTTAGGGATGTAAATATGTATTTTAAGAAGTTTGTTCAAGTATGGAAAATGGATGCTTGATTTTAGAGATTTAATTGCAACAAAATCCTCTCTCTCTTAGTTTTGAAATTAAAATTGCAATATAGCATAGTTAATCTACGGATTATGAAATTTTCCCATGTTTTTTCTTTTATATCATTTACTCCCTGTTTGGTAGAATAAAATTCATTTTCAATTTCATATTCTTTCAATAAAATAACTTTTCACATGTTAATTTAAAAAAAAAAAAACAATTTTCATAAAATCTACATCAAAGGACAAATAGGCGCTTATGTATTTGTGGGCTAGGTTGAATGTGAGGTGATGTCCAAACCAGATCAAACCCAATACAAGCACGTGTATTCCAGTGAGAGAATAGTTCAATGGGTCAACGTAGCAAATGGAGGATTTTTGAGGCTGCAGTTAAAGTCGGGTCTAATAATATGATTTATTCAAATAAATATGAAATGTGCAAAGTTTAAGTGCTAGCATTCTATCCACCTGTTAGAATTTGAACAGTTGATTACTTGATTCGCGTGTGTATTATCTTGCAAGAACAATGCAAGAGTCGAGCAACTATAATCCAAATTTGCCCCTTGGGAATATCCCAGTGGTGTAAAGGACGAGAGTGAGGTAATCTCAACCTTATTGGCAGTCACAGTGTGAGGGTTCGATTCCTGACATATGGAATTGGACTTTTTGTGTGTATCAGTGCACGTGCAAACTCTTTTTACCTCGCTTATCGTGGTACATCCCTCAGGTATAACATTGAGGAGTATAACAACCTTGTACTCTTCAAACACCTTTTCACCAGTATTGATAATATCTTGTACCAATTTATTAAAGGTATCAAGATTTTCATCTAAATCTTTGGTAGGGTCTAACTTAAAACTAAAGAATCTTTCTAGAAGATATATTTTATTTGGTATAGACTTCACTAAATATAATTCTTCTAGTTTCTCCCAAAGAGCTTTAGTATCATCAAGTTTCCCTACTTTCCTTAAAACTTGATCAAATAAATGCAGAATAATTGAGGTATAGGCAAGATCATCAGTTTCAGTTATTTGTACATCAGTCATAGTATTAGGATATTCAGCAGTTATAGCCTTTGAAACTTTTTGTTGAACAAGGATTCCTATCATTTTTTGCTGCCAAATGGAGAAATCTCATTTTCCATTAAAAACTTCAAGTTCAAACGTAGTAGTCATCATTTGAAGTTTTTAATCAACACAAGAAAATTTTTGGGAAATCAATGTTCAACAGAAAATGTAGGTATTCCAAAATATGGTGAACAACACAGAATTACACAAAATTTGAAATATCAGACAATTCAAAAGTGCATATAATCACAGTGAATAAGTTGCAAAATATAACCATGCAGGTTACAAGGAATAGTTCAAGACAACAGTGTGTTTAGAATTCACCAGGATTCCTTACGGCTCAAGACCGCAGGTCAAGGCACAATTCCAAGAGACACACAACACAAGGGAGGGAGAAAGGTACACTAATTTTCAAGAAAGTATCAAAGATCACTCAAACTTATATATGCAGGTCACAATAATACAAGAAATGAAAATATCAAGTAATTTTCACAGAGTAATCAACTTATTCGGAATAAAAAACCACACAGAGCAGTATAGTATATGAAATGTAAAGGTTAGGGTTAGGAAATTTAACCACAAGTTCGAGTATCACCCACACTATACCCAAATGTTTCAGAACAGATCACTAAATGGTCCAAAATCCACCTTATTCCTACAAGATTCAAACAATTGTGAGATTACAAATATCTCTAAAAAAATCATCAACAGAAAACCAAGATTTGTCATCTCCCGAATCTAAGGGGTTTCACCACTGGACAGAACTTTCAAGATCCGTGTGTGAAAATTATTTTTCCACCCACAGATCGAGAAATCAAGAACTCGCACGCCCAAGAAATGGCTCTAATACCACTGTTACAACTCAAACTTAAAAATACCCAAAATACAGAGGATAGAATTCTTCGAATCAAAACATCATGAACTCATCACTGTCATAAGAAATCGATCGTTTGGGCTTAGAAATAACATTGTACCCTTCTGTACACCCAAAATCTCCACAAACCCTAAACCAGAATAGAGAAACAAACGCAGCTACTTCAACATACCCAAGCAAATGACCAACAACTGATTTCAGGCTCTCAAAACTCAGATCGAAGAATCACACAGATTCGATACACAGATTTTTCCCCCAAACATCAGAAAATTTTAGGACTACACAAAGTACACAAAAGAGAATGAGAGAAGTCACGAAGAAGAGAAAACCCTAGAAGCTTCTCGCAGAAATCAAAGAGTCGAGAGAAGTGAATAATGCAACCACTCAGGTCACTTATATATTAAGACTCATCACCGTAGATCTTCAGTTGGTAATCAAGGGTCTAGAGTAACACACGTGTCCACTAACTTGGATTGGGTTTAGGTCCATCTTGGATGTGTTGTCAAGCAATGGAAAATTCTTCCGACAATTGGCTTGGCCCATTTCATCGTCTCCCAAGGACTGGACCACCTTAATGGCATCACAATCCAATAATCATTGATGGAAAGACACAAGGCATCAACATGCTGCCTAATGGCGACAGCAACCCCTGTGCTAAGATTTGAACCTGTATTCTATTTTGTTGACTGTGTAATAATTTATCACCACCTTTACAAATCGATGTTCGAGTCTTCAGCCGTAGGCTTCTTTTTTATTGGGAGGAGTGTGGTTGAAAACTAGTTTGAAAAAAATGAGTTTTGAAGAATCTGTACCGAACATGGGCTAAAATTATATATTAACAATGGATTAATAAGTTTATTGTGCATTTATGTGGTGTTGTTTTCCTGATTGTTAGATTTGTTCTTGATAATTTGTAAAATCGCAAAGCAATAGTAAGTACCCACCAAATGTAACTTAATATTAAGAAAAAATAAAAAATAGTTTTTAACTTATAATAAATTACATTTAAAAGAAAATACTTATAAATAGACTAGCAATTAGATTGGAAGCAGCGGAAAATGTTTCATGTCATGAGATTGGACAAAGTTTAAATTAATTTCTTTATCCATGCTTGAGACGAGCCATGAAAAATGCAGGCAGGTTTTGGCAGTAACTTGCAGCTGTCAAAAATTGTCTACCGGCTAGGGACAAGATAAAAATAATGTACTGAGAATAAACCTGTTCCAACGTCGTTGACTTCAAGATTTCAGTTGAGAATAAAAGAATCTTCCTTTTATGTAATAACTTCCATTTCCATCATATATAAAAGCAATTGTCATTCTCTTCTAGTGAAAGTGTAGTGAGTCCTTTTTCCTTCCTTTCTCTATGAAGAATTAACAATTATGGATCAAATTTTGTTACTTATTCGTAAGTGGCCTAGAAAAGAAATTCATTCTCTCTATCTTCTTCTTCTTCTTCTTCTTCTTCTATAAACTGCAGTCTTAATTTAGATAACTCGTTTTGTGGGGAAGAAGCGGTTTGTGACTTATTTTATGCATTAAGGCTACGTGCAATTGTAACCGGAAAATTTTTCTTGAATTCAACTGAGGAGGAAGATTGCTCGATTGAAATGAAAGGTACAGAAGCAGATGTTTTAGGTACTTACTTGGGTTTTCGCTAACTCTATGAACATTCTTGTAGAGCAGGCTTATTCGTATTAATTGGAGGCATTTTCGGGTTTTTTGTGGTACTACTTTCTTCAGCATGGATCTTATCACGAAGGCGGCATAAGCTAATCTCACCGGTTAATAAAGAAGGTAGGTTTTAATTTTATAATTGATAGATCATGCAAGAATGTTTCTTATTCATTTTACATAGCTGTAAAATTTTCCAGCATGGAAATCTGCACTATCGGCATTGTCAAAGGAGCCTGCTATTCTTAAAGTCCCGGTCGAGAAGGTATATGCTGCCACGAACAATCTACATGAATCAAACTTCATCGGCCAAGGAACATCAGGTATTAAAGCTTCTCTAGACAAACTCACAAGTTTTTTAAGAAAAACCTAGGAATAACAATGATACTGAATTGATCTGTGTAATGATATACTAATAATTGTATCCCTTCACTTTATTGTATTGTCTTATTGGATTTAGGAAATGTGTACAAAGGCCTTTTTTCCGGGAATCAGCAAGTGGCAATAAAGCACATTACAAAAGATGGAGGCGCTGAGACTTTCGTGAGGGAAGTTGGAAGCCTAGCGCACATCAGACACCCGAACCTGGTAGCTTTGTTGGGTTATTGTGAATCTGAAGGCGAATGCTTCCTAATTTATGAACTTTGTCCCAACGGAAACCTGTCTGAGTGGCTTTATGGTAAAGACTACATCTGCCTAAGATGTCTGCTGTCCGAACTAGCTTTTTCCTTATGCTGATAAATTTAATGTTTATCAGGGAACGATAAAGTCCTGTCCTGGATTCAAAGGCTTCAGATAGCGATTGGCAGTGCTCGAGGACTCTGGTTTCTCCATACATTCCAGGAGGATGCATAGTTCATCGAGATGTCAAGGTCTGGTTCGACACCCAAGCCTTTTTATTGAACTTCTGCACCAATATCTGCATGACTGTTCACAATGATCAATTGAAGTTCATCTTACGTCTGACAGCCAACAAACATCCTGCTCGGGTAAAATTTTCAATTATGAATGTTCAAATTGTATTTGGTGGGGATTAAAATTAGGTTTTTTAGTATTACTCATAACACAAACCTGATTTCTTCAAGTCAACATGGCCAATTCCAATGGTTATCTTGTATATGTCGATGTTAACATTCTCCTCAAATTAAATATTCTTTGCGCCATTGGTAACTCTAGTTTTGATAAAGATTATGTAATATTGATGCCAGCATCAACTTAATACTTTTATCTGTTTTTAGAAATTAAATACGAGAAAGGTAGAAGCAAGTAGGGGTTCAATTTGGCTTGTTCAACTAGCAAAAAGAAATTTTTTTAACCTTGTGTGATTTTTGTTACTATATAAATGAAATTTAACTTGCGTTTGTAAATATTTTACCAGCATTATTTATTTTTTACCATCGATTCAACTTTCGACGCTTCACCTTGTAACTTTTCGCCTGCTCACAACTAGAACAAATCACTGCAAACAATGTAATAAAGCATAAAAATCGCTATGCTCAAAGAAAGAAACACATCTACAGTGCGATAAATCAAACTTTCTTCATTTATGCCCCGATATATATACCAACATTCTCTTCAAAACAATTAACAGCACGAGAATTCTTTCGAAAATAAAGAAAATCAACCCGAGAGTCCAAGACGGTCCAGTACATCGATCGAGTAGAGACTTCTATCTTTTGACTTTCCCATTTTTCCAAAATTAACACTAAGAAAATTTGCATCCAAAATGGACATACTAATGATTGTGTTAGCCGGTAAAGTGAGACGAGGCATTATGATAATATGAGCAACTATGCAAGCCGCCTTTTAAAGTTTTGGGTTGTTGTTCGATAAGTACGGACCAACAAACCAACTCCAATTCCGACCCCCAAGCAAATGCCAAGGCCTATTCCAACACCCACTCGAACACCGGCATTAAACCAAGATAGTTCCCCGTCTTCACCTTCAACATATTCCGTCCGTCTCCAATACATGTCATCATAGTCTTCATCGCTTTCTGGTTTATAACTTCCGTACTCTGCAACCTGAAAAGGTAAAATGAAATATTCAAAATGACTCGGATAAGTACTAGTGAATAAGATTAGATGGCAATAAACAGTATTTTAGTTTCTTTTTCTTCTTTAATGTAGTCCACTATCTGGAAGTATTGTACTACATATCAATGAAAAAAAGACGAATGTTATAACTTACAGCTACTAGCTGTACATTAGTAGTTCGCTCAATAAGAAGGACTATATAGTACTCGACGCTTGGATATGGAAGTGACTATTCCAATGCTCCTACCTAATATACCGTTTAGTAGCATTTCTTGGCGTTGTGTTCGTTATAAACATATGCCATATAGCGTCTAAATAAAACAAGCCCATGTGCCATGCCAATGTCCAAGCATAGATTTTCTAACAAGTACTTTTAGCAATGATAGAAAGCTCCATGAAATAGAAACCAAAGTGTAGTTTGACATAATTTTGGAGTAAGAAACAAAAATCTATGTTTCTCGAAAACAACATAGACGAAAATGAATAAGCGTTAAGCAATCTTATCAAACGAATTTACTAATTAGTATTTATGAGACAGATGGGGATAACATGTACAGAATAATATAAAATTCTCAAGAAAAACTGAAAGTTATGGTCACACAGATCCTGAATGGATAATTGACCTCCAAAAGGTTGCCAAGGGTTGCCGAAAAGTGATTTAAAGGGCCCCACAATTGAAGACTACCTACCTAGTTTCTGTGATGATGAGACCCGGGCACGTCAGTCTTGATCAGGATATGGATAATAAATGAGGAAACACACACACAAGAGAATACTCTGCTATTTCAATATGTGTGCCTGCCTGCCCATACCCTTATGACATGTTGAGGATAAGACTGCTTATAGTCGAAGATTCAATTCCTAAGGAAACCAGCCTTTTTCATTGCAGATAGACATGTTTCGCAAGAGGAAGCAATAACTGAATGATAAGATAAAATGATGTGATCTCGGCTCGTATTCATGCTTGTGCTTTGTGTATAAATATTAGAATCAATGGCAGCAATAGTATAGGTAACCTTTTGAAGACAACTTATTAACGAGCACGTAATTAGCAATAATTCCAAATACGAATATTTCCCATGCCAGGTATACCTTTTATTGCTTTTCTGCATTTCAAATTATTGCTGTAATACATACAAGAATGCTATGAACCTTGAGCTAAGCATGATGTATGGGATTCTTAGAGGGTGTTCTCTTTGTGTTTCAGTTTTGTGTTTTGAGTTTTAAATTCATTTTGAATTTTGTTTTTTGAGTGTTTGGTTTGAAATTGTTGAAAATGCGTTCTTTTTATTTGTTTCTCAAAACAAAAAAAATGAAATTTTTTTTTTTTTTAAATTTTGAGAATCACCACAAGATCACCTAAAATATATATATATAATAATTTTTAATTTTTTTTTTTGAAATTTTGAGAATCACCATACCACCTCCGAAAAAAAAAAATGGTGTTTCCCGCGTTTTCAATTTTTTCAAGTTTTACACTAAAAACGCCCCAAAACGGCAAAAAAGTCGTTTTGTGTTTTCTTCACAATTTTTTTTTCGTTTTCAAAAATTCGTTTTCGAAAACGGGAAAGAGAACACGTTTTCACCGTTTTGAAAAATCGAAAATAGAAAACGGCCCGAAAACGATAAAGAGAACAGGGCCTAATTTTTTTGAGAAAATTGGGTAAGAATCTGAAATTAAATGTGTTTCGTAACAACATACAAACGTAAGCTTATGTAATTGTTATGTTTAGATATTATAAATAACTTCTTTATTATTGTGGTTGGTTATTCTCTTTGTCTAATCAATAACTTTTTTTCAAATATGATGTTCACGAGGTCTTGTTGGATTGATTTATTTTTTTTGCCTTATATCTCGTTTAGTAGACTTGTATTGTAACGTTATCATAACAGCATTAGCCTAAAAAAGGTGAAAAAAAAAACTAAGTTTTAGTTTATTGTGATTTCATTTTGATTTAGTAGATATTTAAAGTTATAGTAGATATATTTAGCCATTGCTCGAGCTATATTTTCCATGTTATCATAATGAGAAAATTGACCATTGGAAAGGAAGCTGGGTCCCACGCACGAAACAATAGGTCAACAAATGCGGTTGGACTTGTGTGATAATGGTCCAAATTTTCATTTTTATGTCCCAAAAATTTGGTTGAAACAAGGGCTTAGATTGTTTTAGAATTATTACTAGTAAGATATAAATATATATTGAATTCAATAAATTAATGTCATAAAAGTAGACTGATAAAAAAATATAAGACGAAATCGACGGTTTTAAACCGGACCAAACCGTTAGGTTTAGGTTCGAGTTTTTTTCAAACCGTTCAAAATGGTTTGGTTTATGTTTGAGTTTTTCTCAAACCGGTTTAAACGGTTTGATTTGAAAATTTGTCAAAAATCGGTAAAATCGGACCGTTTACACCCCTAGTTTGGAGGTGTAGATAGACGAAATGAAGGGTTGGATTAAGGGGATTCGTATAAGACCGTGGTCCGTTGAGTTATTTAAGGTTCCTAAAATGCGAGAAATTCGAATTTGTAATGAAAGGGAGGAAAACTAGGGAAAGCTCAAGATAAAAAGGTGTTAGGGTTGTGCTTGGGGCTCTGTTTGAACACCTTTATGTACATAAAATTATGTTCAAGTACATTTCTCCATGGTGTTAAATGGGTTGAGTCGAGTCATTTGACTTGCTCACTATTGAGGCCTCAATTGATCAACGAGGCTGTTCCCATTCACATATGAGGATGAGACAAGTGCGAGCTAATTTCTTTCAAAAATTATGTATCAACTCACCCCACTAATTGGCCCTTTGTTGGGATAAGTTGAATCGACGCCAGCCAACATGAAGGAACTAGTTACCATAGAAGCTACAGATTTCGAAAGTTGTACCACTATCTTCTAGGGCAAACTCCCTATCTTGATCAAAGTTTTGAAAGGCTTGCTTATGGTGGTCCTAGGTCTATAAGACGTAGGCTTATCAAACTGAGTTAATTGCATAGTCAAGGGGAACTAAGTGCTAGTGATCGAAACTTGGAGAACTTAGGCCGCTGATAGTAAAGGAGAGGCCCAGAACCCATTTCATGGCTTATATTATGGCCCCATTTGGTAATCATTTTTTTTAAATGTATTTTTTTATCTCTTCTTTTCAACCACATATACTTATTAAAATAATATAACACGTAAATTAAAAAATTTCTTTATTTTTCAACAACACATTTCACATCAATTTACTATTCTAAAATACATTTTTACATAAAAATGTCTATTAAACACCCCCTATATAAGATGGCCGGTTTACTTAGCGGGCTTCCTATCTTTAAAAAAAATAGAAAAAAAAAGAAAAAAAAAAGAAAATCTTTTGGGTTAGCCAATCTAGTAAAGGAGCGGCGTGCAATCTTCCTCCTTTCCAACTCTAAATCAAATAAAATATTTCAGACTAAATTTTGCAACTCAACTAAAATGGGACGATGATTCAATCCACTTGATACCCATAACATGATGAAATTCATTGTTTGAATAATCAATGAGCTAGCAACAAAGAAATATAACATTGGATTCTTTGAGGTCGAAGGTAAAATTGTCACTTTTAAAATCAATGCAAGGTCAATAATAAACTTCTACTTCTTGATTATAGTGTTATGTGAAAATGACTCGTCATTTATTAGGCTGGGCCAAGTTTTTTTTGTGGATTTGGACGGCTATCTAGTCCTAATGTTTTTTGTGGAAATTACACATATCCCTAGAATTAAAATCTAGGGTTCAAAAATTATATGGGTAATTTAATATTTCAAAAATCAGATTTCACATGTTTAAATATTATTTATTAT